CCGGATCGATTTTGTTTTCAGGAGTTCCCACAGAGTCCCAATTTAGATGAGGGTCAGATGATTTCAGGCCTTCTCCTAAGGTCTGGATCCCTCCAGGAACGATTTTGGCTTCAGGAATTTGTGGGTTGGACTGGCCTAGGAGCCTGGCCCAGAAAAGATGCTGGTCTAGGGCAGCTGGTGGCTGTGCCACCCAGAGATGCAAAGGCAGATGTGGTGGGAAGAGGCCCCAAGGACTCCTGGGGACTGCACTGAGGAGCTGGGTTGGTCTGGATGAAAGGATCAGGAAGAGGAAAGGTCAGCTCCATGTCCCAGAAAGAGGCTGGCAGGTGGTGCAGGCCCAGAGAAGCAGAGGGAAGTGAGGGCAGGGCCAGGTCCAGAAGCAGTGCTCCTCGGGTCCAGAGAAGGCACTAAGTTGGTCTGTGGATGAAAAGGGAAACAGTATTGGTTCCCCAGGTGTCTGGGGCACCAAGAGAAGGAATGGAGCAGGGCCCAAACTGGGAGAAGAGAATGGCAGGGGAGATGGGAAGGTGAATCAGGTTGGGGGATTCAAGTCACGGAGGATACAATGTGCTTACCCTGGAGAGAGGCCTGCAGGTGGGAGAGAGCTTCATGCAAAATATTTTGATTTTATTTAGATCCCCTCCTCTACTGGCACCTCTACCTCACCCCACCCCACCCCACTCCTACCCAATCTAATATATATAGATGAGAGAGAGAGAGAGAGAGAGAGAGAGAGAGAGAGAGAGAGACCTATAGAGTCTAATTTGTGTCCCCAAATATCCAGTGTGGGCCCATCCACTGTAGCCTGGGTAGCCTACCCAGAGTCACAACCATGAAAGAGACTGACTCTCCCTCTCCCATTAGCCACTGCCAATAGTTCCTCAGGTAGGGTTTGGGTTTCTTACCCAGTTCCCTTGTCTGCACTGGGGCTTTCTGAGACATGGTCTCCTTGTAGCCTCAGCTGGCCTGGAGCTCACAGAGGTCTACCTGCCTCTGCCTCCTGAGTGCTAGGATTAAAGGCTTGCACCACCACACCTGGCCATAGTTTGTATTTTTGTTTTATTTCATTTTGTTTTTTGACAGGCTCTCCCCAGTCCTAGCCTTCCTGGAGCTCACTATGTAGACCAGACTGACCTCAGTCTAACAGAGATCCTCCTGCCTCTGCCTCCCAAGGGCTTGGATTAAAGGTTTGTGCCATCATATCTGGTGTCAGTTTGTACTCTTAATAGACCTTTTGTTCTTCACCTAAAGCCATTTAGAGGACAGTTGCATTATTTTATATCTATATGTTCTTGCATGTTCATTAAAAAATCACTCTCAGTTGGGCTTGGTGACTCATGCTTATAGTACCAATAATTGGAAGGCAGAGGCAGGAAGATCTTGAATTCAATTCCAGCCTGTGCTTAGTGAGACCCAGTGTGACACAATCTGAAACCTATGAAGAAAGTCTCAAAGAGGGATCATGTAAATCAGGTTGGCCTGTGGGAATTGTCTTGAATACATTTAATTCACGTGAGAAGGCACAGCCCACTCTTAGTGGCACCATTCCCTAGGCAGAGGATCTTGATATGTGTAAGTGTAGAAGGGCTCCTGAGCATGACTTAAGCATGCATGCATTTATTCTCTCTCTGCTCTTGACCATGAATGTGACTAACTGCTTCAGGATCCTACTTTGACTTCCCTCAGTGGTGGACTTTACTGTGGACCTGTAAGCCAAATAGATCATTTTTTCTTAAAGTTTTTCTTTTTGGAGTATTTTATCCCAGCAAGTAGACAGGAAACTAAAACACTTCTTTAAAAAAACAAAACAAATGAACAAAAGAAAACCAGAAAACCCCACCAGTTTTGACTGCCTCAAAGTAGCTACCATATAACTTGCATGATTAGATTGGTCAAAAGATACCAAATTATATACCTGGAAAGCCAGGAGGCAGATGATATTGGCTTATTAATTAGCTTTGCCCCTAAAAGAGCAGATGAGGAGAGAGCTACAATTTTGGATTGAAAAGTGAGCTTTTAGGTTATTTATAAATTGTGATTCTACTATTTTCTTCATTTTTTAAAGGAAGATAAGATGAGACAACATTTATCTTTCTTCACATGTTCTTTGTTTGCCCATCAGCTGATGCCATCAAAACGGAGCCTCACATCTCCTAGTTCTCTGCTTTCCCGCTTTCTCTTTCTCTGTCTGGGCAAACTGCTTGCTTGCATTCTCTCGTGGCCACCTCAGTATCATATCTTTGTCAAAATGTTACAGAACTTTTAGAAATCTTTCTATCTACAGGGTAAGTAGAAGAAAAAGATATTTCAATAGTTTAGCCTTATTTATGCCATTGCTTTTAAGCATTTCCTTTTGATTTCCTTTATCATATTTATCTACTTTAGACCTTAAGCGCCATTAAGAATCTGATGAAATAGTGAATTAAAAAATTTCAGTTTCTGTAGTAAGTTTCACAGATTCTTCTGAGTGTTTCACAAACCTTTTGATTCCCATTTGTGGTCCATGGGTTAAGAATTTTGTGCTTTAACTCCATCAAGAAGCAAAGCATGAGGAATGCTGTCATTCTGTTCTTTGTCCTTTTTATTCTAAATCTAGGACCCAGCCTATCAAATGATGATGCCTACATTTAGGGCAGGTGTTCCTACCTCATTTAGCCTAATCTAGAGAATCCCACATGGAATGTCCAAAAGCTAACCTAATGTAGGTAATTCTAGTTCCTGTCAAGCTGGCAATCAGTATAAACTATTACATCCATTGAACACAAATATGTGCACACATAGTCAAGTAATGTTTATTTAAATCGTACTTCATCTCCTGTGCCCCAGTAGCACTTTTTTTCTTTCTATCATAGCACTTCTTGCCAGTCAATGAAGAAATGCTTGAACAAGCAGAGTAGTAATTGAGGTGTAACCTTGGAAATCTAAGTTCCATTTCTTGAAAGTATTAACATGAAACATCTTTCCAAAGTTGCTTTTGACAGAATAGTGTTAGGAGTGAGGCCATAAGAGAGCACTGTGTGTTAAGAGAAGTTTATTGAGCAAATAACATTGGTTAGCTCTGGGGAAACAAACACCTTCAGATCTTTTCTGGACAAATTGCAGGTACATTAAGAACTAAATATACACATTGAAATTGCCTAAAAATTAGAATAAATAGAAAATACACTTAAGCTTCTAGAAAGATTGCCCCAGGGAAATATAGTACAAATCATGCAAAAAACAAAATAAACAAACAAACAAAAAAACCCCCACAACTTAGTAGCCAGTGAAAAAATTTATAGCAGGAAAAATTAATTGTTATATTTTAACCAATATTTCCAGGATACTGTTTCATTGTGAAATAAATGAGGCATTTTACACTGTTAGGTTTTTTTTGATACCAAAAGCGTTTGAAATCAGTATTTATTGTATACTTACTGATATCTCATTATAGAACAGCCTTTGGCTTTTTTTAAAGTGCTTGATAGCTACATCTGGCTAGAGGATACAGTCAGTAGACAGCACAACTACAGAACAGGTTAAATACAGAAACAAAGGCAAACATGGATAAAATTGACTATTGGAATATAAAGTAAAAGAAGAAGATAAAGTAGAAAATGTTTGTAGCATAATATGTAAAATATTATCATTCTTAATATGTAAAGCATTTATACAAATTTCTAAGAACACTTAAAATCCCAGGAAATAAACAGTAAGGTGACACAATTAGACAGTTTACAAAAAATTTAGTATAAAACACAAAAATAATAAAGAAGTGCAAATCTGGCTGAGGGTATATACATCAGTGGTAGGTTGTTTGTGTATTATGTGAAGCCCTTGACTTGATCCAGCCCTGGAAAATATTTTTTTTTAAAAAAAAAGAGCAATAATAATGTTCTGTTTCCATCTGTCAAGGAAGCAAAGATTATAAAACTGTAATTTTCACAGGATCCTGAATGTAATTAAAGAGTGTTCTTACAGACTATAAGAATGACAGTAAAGTAGTCAAATCCTTTGTAAAGGTACTAGAACAAATGGTACCAGAATTCTTTTCCTAGGACTCTTACAAGGAAATCATACTTATATAGAGAGGGAGACATACATATCAAAATGCTCACTTCAGCATTGTCTACAAGTATGGAAAAATTGATGACTAACTAAAATCCTCTTCTAAGCAAAGGCTAAGTTTTGTTTTTTGTTTTTTGTTTTTGTTTTTTTGTCTTTTTGGGACAGGGTCTCCCTATAGCCCCAGCTGTCCTGGAACTCACTATGTAGACCAGGCTGGCCTTGAACTCACAGAGATCTGCCTGCCTCTGCCTCTGCCTCCCAAGTGCTGGGACTACAGGCATGTGCCACCACACCTGGCCAGCTAAGTTATTTTTAATATAGTGAGATTAGTCATTTGATAAAATACTTTTGAGTAGTATAACATAGAAGATCTTTAATGATATTTTATAGAATTTAGAGAAATCAATCCTGTGTAGATAATACTAAATTTTATTATAATCTTGACAATGTTAGGGGAGACTCTGGAGTTTGTTTTTCTAGTTTTTTTATTTTATCAGTTTTTCAAATGTCAGAAATTTAGTGTCTTATTTTACTTTTACATGGTGTAATTAATCTAGCATTCTTACATGTAACTTAGGATTTCATACTAATTCAAGTATGCTGTATTGGTGATATACCTGTCAACTTCTCCTTTAGAAAAGCACAGTGCTTAGTAACCAAAAGATTTCCTAGATGATCTATATTGTGAGGTTTGACTCCATCTTTGTTAACTATGCCAAGTTTCTGACTTTTCAGTACATTTGACATCAGCTTATTTTTCTGTTCCCATTACTTCTGGCCTGAGTCTGATTTCCCGAAAGTGAAACAGACATTATAAATGGATAGTAGTACACTTGCGTTACCAATTTCATAAGGTTAAGTAACTCACATCTGCTCACTCACCAGCCACATATTTGTATATAGAAATTTTCTCTTTTATTGTTTTGATTAATGCTGCTTTTTCTTGTTTCAAGGTTATTCTGGTGCAAGTTAATCCAGGTGAAGCATTTACAATAAGAAGAGAAGATGGACAGTTTCAGTGCATTACAGGTAATAATACTAATTTACCACTTTTTTGACCACAAAACTTATTCTGGCATATAGTATTACATGTGCTTGTCATTTCTTCCTTACTACCCCCACGCAAAAACACAAACTGAGTACTGTATCCTTTAACTGCTGTAATAGCATCTTAACTAATCACTTTGTCATTTCTTCACTAATCTTACTATAATATTTTATTGTTTATATTACTTCCCTAGTCAAAAATCTTGTGAATCCAACCAAGTTCCTTTAGTCTTTCAAAAAGATCGTTTCTTGTTTCCATCCTGCTGTCTCCTAACATTGATTCCCTTCAGTCTTTTTAAGTTGGCTTATTCACTGCCTCTCAAATCTTTCCTGGCCTGTCAACAGTAATTTCCTTATCTAAAATTCACCCCCTATCACTTCCACTCCAGCATATGCAAATTCTACCTGTGCTTTAAACTCAACTCAGGTATTTTAACAGGTTTATTGTAATCTTTCTTTACTGAACATCCCCTTAGCACTTTTGGACTAGAAATTTCTCAGCTTTGGGGAACTGTCCTCTACCCACTAACCACTTCTCCTAATTTATGACAAATAAAAATCTCTTCAGACATTTTCAAATCCCTGAGGGACAAAATCACCCTTGCTCAATGAGAATTGTTTCATGAAGATGATGGCAATAGAAAGGTTACTAGTAACTAGTAGGCCCTCATCCAGTATGACTAGTATCCTCATAAAAAATGGGACATTCCGACAGACAGACAGAGGTGGGGAGCAGATAGAGAGAGAAGAATAGATGCCATGTGGGGATGCAGGTCTCTGTGTCCTGAGACATGCTAGCCAAAAATTGTCAGCAAACCCAGAAGCAATGAGAGAGACATGGAACAGATATTCCCTTTATCCACCAGAATGAGCCACCTTTGCCAACTCCTCTTAAACTGAGACAGTAATTTTCTGTTCTAGGCCAAACAAAAGTCACTGTCTTGGAATTAGAGAACCTGAATGTAAACTCCAGCTCATTTCTTACTAGCTAGCTGCAATATACTACATATATTTCTTAAGTTCTCTCAAGTACATTTCTTATCAGTAAAGTTCCCAGTCCCATCTTTGATAGTACACATCACAGGATAATTTTGAGGGTTAACAATAAGCATGTAGTATACTTTAAAACTGGACCTGGTACTCTAAGGTACTCAATGAATAGTGGTGAGTACTGTGGTATTATTGTTAACAGAAAGTGATCTGTGTCTTCTCTGAACCCTGTAATACCAACTGTTGAGAAATTCCTTTATCAGATAATTATGTATTATCTTATAACATTTCTTTTAGTTGTGGTTTTAAATTATATATGTTTTGTATTAATTATTTAACTTGAAATGCTCTGTCTTTTCAACTAAGACCCACTAAACACTCAGGACAGAAAACATTTCTTATATCTCTTTGTATCCTTTCGGTTCTTGGCTTTCTATTTGTTGGATGCCTTACTAATAGTTGTTGCTTTAATTTAAAGAATACACAGAGGTAGGCTGACCATATATTTTTGGCATCCAAACTGGGATACTTTTGAGAGCGTGAGTACTTTTGTGTACGCTCTGGCTAGTATAAACCAAGATTATTACAGGAAACATGGGTTTTCAATACTCCTTTTTCCTTTCACATTACCTAACCTGTCTCATCTTTTTGATCTTTTTCTCTTTCCAGAAAAATAACTCAGTAGTTAAAACTTTTAGCTTCCATTTAAACCTTGTATGTGTTAGAAATGTCTTTAAGTCAATTTAAAAAATTTGTGCAGGAGTTAAGGTAGTTCACAAATAGGAAGCTATAGGCTTAAAAGAAAACAGGCAATAGGATTTAAAAGCAGTATAAAGAAACGTGAACTGTCTATACATGTCAGTTATGTTTACATTAAAAGAATTTCATTTATTTTTTTCTTTTATTATTGTGAAAGTTTTATTTTTTTAAAATAATTTGCTGAGAATTTCATGCATACATATAAGGTGTTTTGATCAAATCCATGCCCACCCCCTCCCTTCCAACTCCTCCCATATCTCCCTATCACTTTTTTCTGATAACTTCATGTACTCTTCCTTCTTTTTGTTTTTCAATGGGGCTTTTTGCTACTCCAACATTCCCCTCTCTGAAGAGGTAACCCTAAAATCTTAAGAATTAAATAAAAGTTCGCAAATACTTTTGACATTTTTGGCCTTTGGAACAGAATATGTTGCTAAGAGGCCCAAGGACATTGTAGCTTTTAGCCAAGAAACTGGCTACTTTTCTTTGGGGTCTTTTTACCCTAACTGCCTAGCCAATTCCTACCTCCTATTCTTATCACACCA